GAAATAAGATTTTAATAACATCTAAAACTTTGAAAGTTATCATTTAGATTGTCAAGTTTTTGAATAAAACCAAGATTACGAGATAGTCAAATCCTTATACTCATCCTCTTTTTTTTTTTTTTTTTTTTGGGTACATTATACTCATCCTCTTTTTGTAGTTGGTTATTCTTAAAAACAAAGAATCAGTTGAATCCTCATAAATGATGGATTGTTAGTGAAGATACTTTCCATCAAGACAATGAATGATTTGAAATTTTTAAAAGAAAAACTTCTTTAAAGTCGATTAATGATTAAAGGTTTTAGCTTAAGAGAACAAAGAGCTATTAACAAATTAGATTCAACTTACTTATTGACAACATGAAATCAAATGTTTTATTTCATGTTATTGATGTTAAAACAACTTAATTACAATATGCTCTTAGGATGACTATGGATACATGAGAATGGTGTTCTTTCGTCTACACTTCACCAATGTTCCAAATATTGCAAAAATGGTTGAGTTGGAACAATTACTATAGATACCAATCCTTTCACCATAGCTAAATCTCATTTTGCCAAGTTTTATCTTGAGGAAGCTATAGAAAAGAATGCACAAGAAGTCATATTTCAAGCTACAAAGGAAGTAAATCCAAGGCAAGAAACATAAAAGGTGGCACAAAAAGAAAATCAAGCAACCTTACCAACAAAAAATGCTAAAGGCAAAGAGAAGAAAGAAAATGAAGTCACAGCTTTTCAATCAAGCCCTATTCTTTGCTTTTTGCCTATGTCAAGAGGGAAAGAAGGTCAATGTGCATTCACTTTTGGGCAAAATGAGCTAATAAAGGATTTGAAAGGTTTGAATTTCTTTGTCAATAACCTTGTTGCACCAAAGATTGCTAACTCTCCAAATGAAGAACCAAAGAAGCGGAAACAACACTCTTCAATGAAGCAAGTAAATTTGCCTGCAAAGTGAATTAATGTTTTGACCCTAATGCCCATATAAGCTATTAGCAAAATTAGGTTATGATCAAGATGAAGTTATTGAACTAATTCAAGAATTTGATGAAGATCCGAAGAAAGGTATAAATTAGGCAACAAACTTAAAGATGCAACCATGTATACAACATATAGGGACTAGTTTTTTTTTTTTTTTTTTTTTTTTTTTTGGGTACTAACCTCTTGGTTTTCAAAAGCTACATTAGGTTTCGACTAATTCGGAATTGAGTTATGTTAGACCCCATAAAGGGGAAGCTCCCTAACACATATTTTTTCATTCACAAGACTTGAACTCAACTTTACTTAAAAGGAATTGAACTCTTTCTACTTGGATCAACAAGTCATTGATATGTAGAGACTAGTTGAATCAACTGTGTTTATATTATGTGTTGAAAAGTTTGTTGGACCAAAGAGTGTCCTAATTGTTTCCTAAAATATAATATTGGACATGTGTATGGAAAGATTATTATTAAAAATATAATTGAGTTCATATTAACATATAATTAATGTAGTAGAAGTTAGATTAAAATAAAATTGCATTAAAAGAAGGGGTTAGTGTTTATTCATCTTATCTCCCAAATATTAGGCGAAAAATTATTTCAAAACTATATCATTTCAATAAAGCACTATAAGAAAAGACAAAAAAACTCTAATTCATACTTTAAAAATAATACATTTTAGTTTTTTTTAATGGAAGTTTATTGAAATGATATAGTTTTGAAATAATTTTCTTTCTAATCTTTATGAGATAAGGCGAATAAATACTATTCCCTTAAAAAAAACATTAGTATTGAAATAATAATTAAAATGACACTGATTAGTATACCATCTAGTTTAATACACTACATAATACATTCAATAAAAATTCATTATTTTTTAATATAAAATTAAAGACAAATAAATTTAAAGAATGCAGATATGTATAAAACATATAGAAATTAACTAAATTTGATATATTTATCTTATATTTTAATAACTAAATTAGGTGAATGTTAAAAAGCATGGTGAACTAGAAAAGTATACAAATTATTTTCCTTTTAAAAATCTTATTTGGTATTTTGTATTGAGAATTGGATTTTTCTTACAGGGGAAAAATCATGAGTCTTTAAGAGATTTTTATCGAATCCTTGGATTTATGCGTAGCAGTTGATGGAATTTACAAATGGGTATGAGCTGTCTCATGTATAGCAGCATGTGTGTTGATTTGGATGATTGATGTTTTCGAATTGATGTGTAAAAAGGTTTTAGAACTTGGGTTAGTTGTTTTTTTGGTGATTTAAGCTCCATTTTGCTTCAAGGATTTGCAGAGAGAATTATATTCACATGCTTATGGTAATCTTTGGGATTCATCAGATCAATTGTTTAAGAATTTGAAAGCCTTAATTAAAATTTCTTTAAGTTTATAGTTATTCCTTTGGACAGAGATTGAGCTTGACGAGTAGGACAGTGCTTTCTTAGAGGGAAAGATTGCATGTGACTGGATAGTTATTTTGAGATTTTATCTTTGAGGGGTTTTGGATTGGAGTAGAAAGGATGCGCAGGGTCTGCACGTATAAATTTCAAGAATTGTCGTTTCTCTCGTTGGAATGGTAAACCTAGAATTTGTTAAGATTTGATAGTACAGTGATTGATATTACATATTTTAGCTTTTTTTTTTTTTTTT